TGAAATTCCCACACATCAAGCCAGTTATTTCCCCTGGTCTAAATTTCTCCAGGGTCAGGAACCACACAACTAGGGCCAGCCCCTACAGCCCAAAGCCTGCTCATTATTCAAACTAGCCAATCCTAAACTGTTTCCCCAACCCTCCCCAGGAGACCCCAACAAAGGCTCTGGCCTAGGCTTTCTCCCCACTCCCACTTTGGCCTCCTGCCCACACCCAGGTGCTTTCCCCCACTGTGCTGCACGGCTTGCATTCCCCGTTCTTGGAAAATGTAAGCAACAAATTCCTCTTAATAGCACTGGCTTCTCCGTGCCATCTCTCAGTCACCTTCATAAATTAAAATCCCAAGGGTACAAATGCAACAGGGTCAGGGGCTGCAGTCTCTGAAGAGATTAGACTTTTGAATAGGCTTAACGAGTAAAGCCAGTGATCAAGCCAGTAACAGTATTTGTGGTTAAAGCAAAAAAGTAGGGCCAATTTTCTCTCTCAAAATGGTTTTGAAAGCAATTCCAAAAAGTTCTAAAACCACCAGGAAATAAAGTAAGCCAATAGTTTTCCAAGGTAATAACTATGATGGCCAACATCCATTTAATGTGAGTTTTTTAAAATTAATATCATCTGGAATCACAATTGATATGTGGGACATATCAATTCCACATTTATATATATATCACAGGACTAAATTAGTTATTTATGGTAGGGTGATAAAACATCCTGGTTTGCCCAAGGTAGGTCCATTTATATTTCCTTCCTACATAATTATGAATTGAATATTAATCCTTTTCACTTACAAGTATTCTGATTTAGAGGATAAATTGTATGATCACCTATATTAAGGGGCTCAGAAGATGAAAAATATAATAAAACACCAATTACCCAGCACCAACCCACCTAATCCCTTAGTGAACTGAATCTTCTTCTAGTCTGCTTTTAAGGAAAGGTTATTACCAAGATTTTAAAAGTTTTCCAAGATATCAACTTAGATTAAATCAGATTTCCTTTTACTTTACATTAACATTATTATTACCTTTAAAATGGACTTATAGTCTATACATTACATCAAAATATGAAAGTATGCGTTTTAACAAGATTTTCAACAAAATTCAGAATGGATGAAAAGAGAAGGAAACGTGTGATTCTGTAATTCCACTGAGTCAAACTTTTACTGAACTATGATGAAGTTCAGATGCCAATATGATATCCCATAAAGATATTAAGTGAATAAATTCCAAGGGTAATATTAGAGAATTATCTGTGGTTAACTGATAATCCAACAGAAACCGTATTAGACCATAATAACCAGTACTAATTCACAAATATATAAAATAGATTCCTATAATGAAAATAATCAAAGTTTTTTGGCTGAGAGCTGTTTATTATTTTCTTTCAAAGTTTAAGATCATGGGGGGAGGGGCACACAAATAAATTTGTGTGTCAAAGCTGATTAGGAAAAAATGACAGAAAAAAATTAAATTCATCATTCTCATTCTATAGTCTTTCCAAATGTACGGAAAATAACACTGAGAGACTTCACAGTGATACTGTTAACAGTTTATGTTTTGGGGTTTTTTTTTTTCTACTTTATGCCATTATTTAGTCAAAAAAATCTACATTATCCATAATAGCAGTATTAAATGACTTCAGCTTCTTTAATATACTGATTATTTTTAAATAAAAAGCCTTACCTTGTAGTCAGAGACATCAGGAGAATAATCGGATGTTAGTTCCAAAAGCTAAAAAAGAAGAAAAAGTCCACAAATATGCAAGCCATGTGGCTCCCCTCCCCTGCCTCTGAGAAAACATGCAGAGCCTGATCATGAACCTGTGGCAACACAGGGGTTCCGGTGGAAAAGGTTTCTTTGTTTTTGTTTTTCTTTGGTGGGGAAGGGTTGGTGATATGTATAGCCTTCTTTGAGTGTGGACTTGCTGTTCCAGACACCAGCCTAAGCCATTTTTATTCGTTCAGAAAACAATTACAGGGCACCTACTATATGCTAGGCACGAAAACACAAAAGAGATGATGCAGGTGTGTGTCTGCGTGCATGTATGTGCATGTGTACTGCTAATGAGTAAGTTTATTTGGAGAGGGAATAATCTTTTTGTTGTAATTGTTGTTTTAAGTATACCTTAAATGCAATCTTTTCTCCAACTTGGGGGGCAGCTGCTAACAGCGGTAACAGGCTGTAGTCCTTGTGTCTCTCTACTGGATTCTGAAAAACAGTATTAGTCATGTGATTTTGTTACTGGTGGGAAAATGTGAATCCATGACATCAGCTCTAAACACAATACGTGGGAAAATGGATAGGGGAAAACTCTCAATAAGAACTACTTGCCTGGATAATTGTAGATGAGTTTGTTAGTGTTTCATTTAAATGCTGCTGCTTCAGATATTCAGCATTTTTATTTAAACCGTAGGGAACAGCAAGCCCTCGTCCTCGACCTCTCCCCCGCATGCCCCGACCCCTAGCTCCTTTCCAAGAAAGAAGGTCCTCTCCTCTACCCCAGCCCCTTCCCAAACTGGTGGGGAGAGTCACATTGGGAGGAGGACCGGGCGCCTGTCTGCCACCATTTGAGTCGGAGTGCTTCCAACCGGTAGCGTTTGGAGTCTGCGATGACGGCCCTGGACCTGGACAACCTTTTCCTGCAAAGAGGCCTATTGCGCTTAAGAAACCCGCAGCCTGCTCTGGAGTGCTCTTTGACACCACAGGCTGGTCATCTGACTCTGAACTGGAGTCTGAACTAGAAGACGATGTTCTGGTTATCTTGTCCTCCATGGGGGTAGAGTTAAAGCCAGTTTTTGTAGCCGCTTTGTTTGCGATTGTGTTTTTCATAGAGGGTCCTTCCTTTGATAACGCAGTTGATATTTTCTCTGTGGAATTTCTGACCTCCAGGATGACATTGCTAAGACCATCACTGGTTGATTCATGATCAGACTCAGACTCTGAGGAGGAACTGGGACTACCTTTTGTATGAATGTCCACACCACCTTTCCTTTTGGCTTTGACAAGGCTGTTTCTAGGAGGAGAAGCTTTGGGAGGACTACACTTCTGGACAATCCACTCTTTCACTGGCTGTGCTTTAGAAGACTTGGGATTCTTTGTCTGTTTTTTGTAGTCACATTTCTCCTTTTTCTTTGGTGCTTTTCTTTTGGTCTCTTCGTCATCATCATCTGCTATACCGTGTGTGGCTTTGTTTCTCCTCTTGTTTTTTTTCCTTGCACTCTGATTTGTGATAGGTTTTGGTTCTCCGTCCAAGACATTCTCATTATTGTTCTCTTGTCTCTTCCAATGTTTCTTTGAGTTTTTGTAACCTAGTTCGGTTTCTTCATCCTCCTCCAGCTTAAATGACCGCTTCTTTGCTTTTCTAGGTAAGAAATGAGTACCGTCACCATTACTGACTACTACAGGATTCTCAGCGACTTCTCTCTCTTCTAATTTAACTCTATCAAAAGAATAAGAGAGAAAACTAGAGTGAGTAACTATGTCTCCAGGATGTAGTTATATATACGGAGATGACTGCAAACTGTCACTGCCATTGATTAATGAAAAAATGTCAATCATTTAAGGATAAAAGACTCTTTCTGACAAAATGACTTATATGGCATCACTTATGGTAAACTTTAAAATTACTAGTTTTATTTATTGAATACTTACTGCATCCCAAACATTTTTTATACATTGTCTCTAAACACCAGCATGAAGTAGGTAATTATCATTTTTTAAAAAATTACAAAATTACAGTTCAGAAAAGTTGCCCAAGATGTACAGCTAATAAGTAGCAGAAATGGGATTCAAACCTCAGTCTAACTTCACAGTCTTTCTACTCTATTACACTACCAACCCCAAGTTTCTATCTTTGTTTTTAAATGTGGGCTGCTTTTTTAAAAATCAGATTTTATTTTTATTTTGTTTAAATTTAGGAAAATATTGAACAATTTATGTTTTCTGGGGCAATGACAGTCATCGTAATTCCATGACGTTTCGTGATTATTAATTTTATGTGTCAACTAGGCCATGGAGCACACAGATATTTGGTTAAACATGGTTCTGGGTGCATCTTGCGAATATTTCTGGATGAGATTAACATTTGAATCAGTACACTGAGTAAAGCAGATCACCCTTCTCAAAGAGAGTCGGCCTTGCTGAAGGCCTGAATAGAATAAAAGACTGAGCAAGGGAGAATTCACGCTCTCTGCCTAAGCGTCTCTGAGCTAAAACATGGGTCTTCTCCTGCCTTAGCACTCGGACTAGGACAAGAACTTACACTATCAACTCTCCTGGTTCTCAGGCCTTGGAACTTGGACTGGAACTATATCATTAGATCTCCCAAGTCTCCAGCTTGCTGACTGCAGATTGGGGACCTCTCAGCTCCCATAATCTCATGAGTGAGCCAACTCCTTATAATAAATCTCATACCTATATCTGTGTCTCTATCATTTCCAATTGCTTCCGTTTCTCTGGAGAATCCTAATTCAGACTCCATACAAAATTATTTCACTATGAGAAAGGAATTCTGTTACTCTATGAACTGTCAACAGCTAATTTTAATACATGCAGCCCGATGACAAAAAGCTGAGTGTCCCTGATGTCAAGCACATAGTGGGTGCTTAAAAATCCCACTAAAAACACACATTATACTTTCAATATATTTACATCCAGATATATATGTCATCAAGTTTTATTTAGTGACAGGGAAAGATATAGACAATCATATTTGAAAATAAAGTACAACTGGCGAATAAGAAGATATATTATACGCATTAATTTTTTTTAAGGTCTAGTAATCCTGTGGATTTATCTCAATGTGGTAGTTGAAAAAATCCTCAATTATCCTTCAGGATACAGAAATACACAGACACATATAAATCAAGGTAAAATAGAAGCTACAGATATCAGAAGTGGGATAAAGAAAGAAATAAAGCTCTGAAAGATCAGGGATTTAAATTACAAAAACACATTACTCTCGTCAGCATCAAGCAGCAAGGAAGTATTCCTTAAACTGGCAAAAGCTAGCTTGGCATCCTGTGAATCTAAGAACTGCTGGGGAACTTCCAACACATCAGATTATTCTTTGTTATTCCTGATCAATGTTTTTACTTGTAGCAATATTCTGATTCAAGTTTCAACTCTGAGACAACCAACTAGGACTAAACTTTCCATGAACTTTGAAAATGGCTGCAAGACTTTCTGTTCAGTCACTGTGGTTTATTAAAATCACTGGAACGTGGCGCATGCTGTATCAAGTATATGCAGGACCCCTGCCTTTTAGAGGAGCCTGCAGCTCTGCCGTGCTTTCAAAAGCAGCCCTTGGCATCATCTGACCCATTTTGAAGACAATGGTATGAAGGTATAATTTGTGATTGCTGCAACCCCACTATCTGCTCTTCCTGAAGAGAATAATTTCAGTTTTGGAACATATTAAGCTTGAGAGACAAAATGCCATCCAGAGAACCAGAAATGGTTCACCTGGATCTGCTTAATTACCATTCTCAACATCCTTCATTTCTCTACTTGGATCACAGACAACATATGTAGATGTCCTTTTACAGAGAGACGTGAATTATCTGTGTAATTAGTCATGAAAGAGATTTAATTCCAAGACATTTTTTAAAACAGACTTTCCACTGTTCATTCAAACTCTTGGTAGGACAAATTGGATAGTATTATCAAAACGCAAGGTATTCCCTTTAAATCTGCAATTTGTAGGATTCTATCATACAGAAATATAGACATGCCCATCTGCCCTGCCTGATATCCCCTACTCACTGTCTGCTAAGGCCAAATGGATGGTCTAGGTTCAAATCTGCCACTTTAATTAAGCTTTAAAAATATTCTCTGTAAAAATGGGACTATTAATAATAATTATAGTATTCGAAGAGCTATATGTGTGTCTAGAGCAGTGCTGGGCTCAGAGCAAGAGCTATCCAAACATTAGCTCTAATTTTTATTAATCCAATGAATACTAGTCCTTTGAGGACAGAAGTTGGTGGGTTTTTAATGTCATGTCCCATCAAATGCAGGTGAAATTCAATATAGAGGGTGAAAGGATAGAACTGCACCCTCTTTGGGTCCCATCTGTTCCCTGAAGCCTCCCTCCTGTCTGACTGCTGCTGCATTATCACCTTCAGAGAGGTCAAGCTGCTTGTCCAAGGGCACACAGTTAATGAGCTAAGATTCGATTGTAGGGCCCTGAACTCTTAATCACTTTGCTCTCTTACCTTTCACACAATATTGAATAAAAGTAACTCATATATCACTGGCACTAATACAAACCTGTACAACTTTTCTGGAGACCAATTTAACCAAAGAGCACCTCTTCTAGGACTCTATCCTTCTGAATCACTGCCCAAGTACACAAAGAGACACAAGAACGTTCACCACAGCAGAATGTAATAGTGAAAAACAGAAAATAGCGGCCATGGTCCCAATGTTTGTGTCCTCCCAAAATTCACACATTGAAATCCTAACCCCCAATGTGATGGTGTTAGGAGATGGGGCCTTTGGGAGGTAATTAGATCATGAGAGTGGAACCCTCATGAATGGGATTGTTACTCATAAGAGAGGCCCTACAGAGCTCCCTAGTTCCCTTTTACAACTTAAGGATACAGTGAGACAGTGTCATCTATGAACCAGAAAGTGAGCCCGAGTCTGCTGGCACCCTGATCTTGGACTCTCAACCTCTAGAACTGTGAGAAATAAATTTCTGTTGTTTATAAGCTACCCAGTTTACGGTATTTTGTTATAGCAGCTCAAACAAGCTAAGATAACAACCTAAAATGTCCATTAATAAGGGGCTGGTTAAATAAATTAATATGGTCATACAAAAGAACACTACGTGGCACTTAAAAAGAATGATGTGTATCACATACCGCATACACCAAAATGAAAGTTACCCACACTGTTAGGTAAAAAAGTGAGGTGCAGGACATATATATATTACATGTGTATTGGAAAAGTATAAGTATATATGTTTGCATATGTGTGGAAAGGATTTGGAAAGGTATAACCTGAACTTAAATGAGGATATTTCTAGAAAATGAAGTATGGAAAAAGTATGTGAGAAGAGAAATAAGGAACTTTTTACCTTTAACTATTTTGAAGTATAATTTTTTTTAACAACAGGCTTTTTGTTTGTTTGTTTATAAATGAATGGAAGGAACTACAGATATTCCAGAATGAAAGCCGCCCAGGCCTAACTTCCATTGGTCTCTGTTTACCCATGGGCATTAGACAAACATGCTTCTCAGTATGAGAAAGAATAGCTCTCAGTATTTTATATCCTAAAATCCATGACCACACTGTGAAACAATATTTAGCATCAAGACACCTAGCTCTGGACAAGGATCAGCAGCTTTGACAGCAAGTATCTTCACTGGCACTCAAGGTTTCAGGAAACCAAACCGCTCTCCTCCTGATTCAGACACTGTCTTCTTAATTCCCACTGCCATCCCTCACAGCCATGTCAGAGGGGCTTGACTGGCTGTCCAAAGAGCTACTCATGACAGCAATATAAAATGAGAACCGATCTCTAATATTTATTTGAGTAATAAATGCCACAGAACTTCAAAAGAATGGAGGAGGAAGGAACGCACTTTGCTTCCTCACGAAATGACTCAATAGAAATCGCCGCTCCATCTAGTCATTCTCCAAAACCAGTTGCTATGGCCAGGCCTCTGTGAAGCTCTCTTCAGGGAATGTTATGGGCTAAACTGTGTCCCCTTCAAAATTGAAAGCCTAACCCCTAGTACCTCAGAATGTGATTAAAAGATAGGGCCTTTGAAGAGGCGATAAAATTAAGATGAAGCCATTAGGGTGAGCCTTAATCCAATCTGACTGGCATCTTTATAAGAGAAGAAATTAGGACACACAAAGAGACACCAAGAATGCCTGAACATAAAAGGACCAGTCGTGTGAGGACACAATGAGAAAGGATCTATCTGCAAGCCAAGCAGTGAGACCTCAGAAAAAAAGAAGCGCGCGCGCGCACACACACACACACACAGAAAAAAAAACCCCCGAAATTTGTTAAAACTTCAATCTTAGACTTCTAGCCCCCAGAAATGTGAGAAATAAATTTGTTGTTTAAGCTACCCTATCTGTGGTATTTTGTTACAGCAGCCTCGGCCAACTAATAACAGGGGCTCCAAGTAAATGGGAGCACTTTCTCCTCCCAGGAACAGCTGGAGACCCACCTTCAGGAGCTTACTGTCAGCAGCCTGGCAGCAGAGGAAATTAGCATCTGGGGGCTTAGGAGAATGGGCTGTGAGGAGAGGGCCACGACATACAAGTGTGAAAATGCCCCTCAAACCTCTAGAGTTATTTCTTAAGATTCCCACAACCTCGCTCCACCTTTCCTCATTAGACTTCTGTCAGGACTCCCAGCAATCCTAACAGAATCCTTTTGCTGGTCAGACTCATTTCTTTACCAAGTCAGGCTAGCTTTTGCCTCCACAACTGGCCCAGGCTATCCAATATTTCCTACCCGTCCTTCATGGTACTGATAAAATTCCCTGACTGTTTGTGTTCCATGATTATCTCTCCTTCTCAACCATCTTCAGCACTTAGCAGCAAAGCCCAGTATAATTATCCAGTTTAACTGCCTCTGGGGACATAAAACCACAAAAACATACAAAACTTTTCCAAACTCAATTTTTCCCGATGGTCTACCCCATTTACCACTGAAGCCAGCCACAGAGATAATTCTTGCCATATGAAACTGTGCAAATATTTGAAATATTTAGGAGGAATTCTGTGGGCTGTTCTGCTGTATTTATTTCTTATAATAGCTTTCATGGTTTGCTTTTGATATCGTTAAAGTCATTATAAATAGTATGAATCCCAGATGATTCATGATTGAAGTATAACTGTAGTTAACTAGCAACAATTTAATTCATTAGCAGGAGATAGTTCAGGAAGTAAACAGGAGAGGATGCAGTCCTTACATGTATGATACTATTTAAATAGTCCCTGAATTGCAGAGAGAATGAAGATCTATTTCACAGTGAATAAAAAAAAAGAAAAAAAAATCTTTTTGAAATTTGGACTAGTTCAAATTGTCATTAGAAAAAGGTAACGTTATGAATAAATCATAGTGTTCCTGATTTTAAGAAAGAGAAAGATGCAGACAACTCAAAGATGGAATAATTGTTCCAAATTGAATTCCCTGATGTTCTGAAAAAATCTTATGAATCTGACAAGCTCTGGAGAAAGGAATAATCAACAAAGGACAAGCAAGAGAAAGTAGCCTGGTTCACAACTCCAGGATTTTTTCACTACAGCTGAAACTTTAAAAAGAAGCCGTGACTAAATCAGTCCAAGATATGAATCCGAACTGAATTGATCATCTTAACATTTTATTGAAACCAATCAATCACACGTGGGCAATTCATACCGCCATTGCTCCTCGATATTCATCTCAGTATCGTTTCTCTAAATTTCCAAAGCATATTTAAAACTATTTTGTTTCCCAATTCACGACCAAACACCTACTTAGGTGGACCACAAACTCCCCAGGTGAGACACAGAGTGACACGCATAAGTCTCAGGGGATAAAGCCGGAATACAGAGGTTGGACAAGCTGCACTTTAAGAAGGAAACGTGAATGTTCGGGGGGCGGTGGGGGGGGTCTCCCGCACTTGACCCTGAGAGTCGCCAGCGGAGGGTCGGGTCTCAGGCACATCTGCATCAAGGGTAGGTTAACACACTGCCAGGCTAAGTGAGCGCTTGCTAAATCAAGGCTGAGAGAAACACGGGTCCTGCCCGTACACCAGATCGGGGTTTTTCCAAGTTTATTGCACTAACCACCTGTATCAGAAGCATCTGGGGAAGGATACTCGTTACAATGAAGATGCCTGAGCCTCATACCCGACTAGACTAATCAGAATCGCAGGGGGTCATGAACGTGCAGGTTCGGAGTTCCGCCACTCCATCCCCACCACCCTCACTCATCCCCTGCCCATTCGCTACCTCCAGAAGGCTGAGGCGCCCCTGGGCGTGCGCAGGCGCGTCCCTGGCCCACCGCCCACCCCGCCACCCCCACGCCAGCCCCGCGCGCACCTGAGGCAATCGTTGTCCCGTACTAGGCGCGCGCTTTCGCCGGGGGGCAAGAGCCCCCCCTCTAAGTAGAGGCCGAGGAGGGCCCCAGAACTGAAGCCGAAGCGCTGGCGGATAAGACTAATGAGGTCTGTGACCACTCGGCATCTGTTCAAGTCGACCAGAAGCCAGAAGTCCGTGCAGTGCGGGGTGGCTGGCGGCGGGTAATCAAATTGAAGCCGTAGCCTAACAGTTTCGGAGGCTGCCATCTTGCTAGATCCTCAACGGAAGCCGAGAGACACCACAGTGCTACCGAGAGGTGTGCTCGGGCGGCCCGCCCCCTGGAGCCTTTTAACGTCTGCCACCTATTGGTGGCGAGTGGCTACTACAGGCTTCGTCATATCAGGAACGCGGAGCGGGTTTGATTCAATTCAATTCTATTCACCCCAGGGCTAGGGAAGAAGATGTATAAATGAAATGTCTTTATTCTTTTCCTATTGAGCACTATGTAGGGTTCGAATTTAGGCAACTCTTTGGATGAACAAGCACTTCTTAGTGGTATATAAGACATTAGCTTATATATATAAAAGAATTACAAAAAACAGTAACTCCTAATACATTTAGTTGACAAAAGTTTTCATCATAAGGAGTTGCAAAAGATGTCATTCCTAATCTGTTGTAAATATTGACATTTAAAAAATTAGCCACTCCCTTAAATGTACCCGGTGGAATTTAAATACCTTAGCAGTTTAATACCTACTACCATCCACATTAAAATATAAAAATAAGCCCTCTCATTAACCTCTGGGTAAGTAAATCAAAAATTTTATATCATTCCAGTTTCCATTCCATTTCTCACAAAATATATTAACTCCTTCAGTTTTCATAACAAAGATATGAATTATAAATCCTTATTATTCCCATTTTGAAGATTAAAAAAACAAAGTTCAGAAAGGTTAAGTAACTTCCTCAAGATCACTAGCCCAGTAAGTGGTTGATACCTTGCAGTCAGTAGATAAATTGAAAAAAAAATTTTTAAGTTTTATTTTTCCGTGACCCTAATGCTCTAGGTCTTCCAACTGCATTATCGTTGCTATTATTAGTCAAAATAGCACAAAATATCACACACTTTGGTACATAATTATTACACAGGGAAAAGAAAATGGACATGAAACATATCTATTAATAAAATAAATGGAGCTGTGTGTTTGTTTTTTAATTAATCCATGTATCTTTGGATAAATATTGCTAAGTAAGACAGGGCTCTACATCAATTCTGGACCCAGTTTTTGTTTCTATAGATGTAAAGTCCTGAGAAAATTTGTTCATTCACATAAGTAGATAAGAATGGAGGACATATTACTGGCAATGTCAGTCAATTCCTTAAAGTTACATGCTCAAATCACCTGGAAATCTTTCTTTAAAAATTATTTTCAGTACTCTGTCAGCCAAGAAATCAGTTAGGTTTAATAATATTGTAAACAAAGAATTGGGAAAAATCTGACTTTCAAAAAAGAGTGTTTACCCAGTCACTAGAGTTCTTCACTTTCTCAGTACCTGGGGAGGCCCTGTTAAGACTTATGTGATTATTATACCACTGACTCTTACATTTAGAGGTGGCTAGTTCATGGAGCTAAAATTAGATGAAACGGGGGTAAAAAATGACAATTGCACAAAAATGGGGATTGTGATCAAAGGGCTATATATAAGTGAAGGATGGATAGGGAAATGAAAACTTGTGAACTAATATATAGATTTATTAGCAATTCAACCTAATAGTTGAAAGTGTTACCATAAGGCTCAGAAGGTCCACCTGCCTGCACGCTCAAGCCAAATAAGATACGAGCAGGAGTATGCATCAAAGAAAGTAAAGGTTTATTTAAGAAGTTTGCACCAAGTATGGAGACACAGTCCATCTAGTGCTCTAGAAAACCTGGCTCCTGATCACCTCTAGTGGCTAGATTATATGAAAGAAAAATTGTTGATCATGATTACTATAGAAGCTGGGGCTGGGACCTCTACTGATTGGTCAGGGCTAAGGCAGGAAGCAATTGATCATAGCTTCAGATCTCGATGTCAGTCATGGCGTTGTTTGGTCAGTCCGTGGGGTCATTCTGCTTTGATGAGTCTGTAGCTGAACCGTAACTGAGGACAAGGCGTTAACTTTGTTCTATTAAAACCTTATCCTAGTTTGAGGTTTAATTATTGTATCATGGTCATGGTTGTTAAATCCCGAAGCTTTATTCTTAAACGAATTCGATGCTGACCAGAACTTAATGTTCTAAGGGCTTAATGATTAAAAGGAGTGGACATACAGTATATGTACAGGTAGAAGGATCTGGAGGAAAGAATGGAAGAGAGTCATAGTTCTATCAGGCTAAAAAAAAGCTAGCTTGTATTAAAACAAAATGCATGCTGAAGAAATGAAGTTTATGTGCAGTTATGAAATGAATTATGTTTATAAATATACAATTGACTGAATTGAAAGAGCATATGAACATCTAAAAAAGTAGAATTAGTCCCAATAAAATGAGGCTGTTTCCTCAAGTTCTGGACATTCGTGGATTTTACATATCAAGGTTTGCTATTATGTGCATTATTGCTGTAGAATCCACTACATTTTCCCCTAAAGTTAATTTAAATTTAATAATATCCGGTAGAAACAAATAAACCAGTGAAGTAGGTGTCAGTGAAGCTATGTAGATGGGGGTAGGGGTGGGGAAGAGATGCATTTCTTTTGAGAATACAGAAACAGGCACATGCTCAGGCAATCAGCTTTAGGAAGGCAAATGAAAGAAAGAGATGTGGAACTTGGTTGTCTTAGAACTATTCATGCCAGTCTACCCTTCTAAAGTGTTTGAGTACTCTTCAGGATATATTTACCCCCAGTCTGAAGACTGCTGCTCTAAAATATGGAAAGTTACCTAAGCAGTGGATGGTTTCTAAGTACTTACCTGGCTATTCTAGTTTCCTTCCCTAGAGAAAGGTAAAATACCACCAATTTCCCCTAGGTGGGGCCCTCCAGTGAAGACAAAAGATTACATCTGAACTATAAATGGAAGAGTTAGATCTCATCTAAGATCTAATCTTAGATCTATTCTGATTAAGTCAGATCTAATCTAACAGCCAAAGTGCTAACATTATTTTAATAAGGCTGGGTAGTAGGTACACAATTCTATGTGCTTGTCTGTATCTTGCAATATTAATGATTATAAAAATTTCTAGAAAGGATCTGTTTTTTGTCAAATGATGCTTTAGAGACCTCTAGTGGGTCAAAATGATGCTTTGAGACCTCTAGTGGGTCATTTGGCAACATTTGTCTAAATTATAAAAGCAGGTACCTCTGTCCTAGCAATTCCATATCTAGGCATTTATCCTACAGACAAACTAACACATATGTGCAGACTCCTGATCAGTGTTTATTAAAACATTGTAATAGCAAGTGACAAGAAACAAACAGAATGCCTATCAGCAGAGCTTTAATTGAATAAATTAGTGTACATCCATACAATTGCTTTATAGAATTCCACTGCATGAATGTATCATAATTTACTCAATTAAATCTTCATTGAATTAGTTTGAAATACACTGCTATGGAAAGGTGCCTAGGATATAAGAGAAAAAGAAAAGAGCAGAGCAGTATATACTGTATGCTTCTATTTGCTTTCTCTTCTTAATTAAACTTTTTAATATGAGTTCATTGTAGATGTACACTGTTCTGCAAGTTCAGGGTACTGAAGCTTGGAGTACATGGTTCTGGCAGCTGGAAGAACATGCAAGCAGCCGTGGGCAGATGCGACATGGCTTTATTCAGGCACAGCAAGACACAGCAAGGCACAGGCACAGCTCCAGTTCCCCGCTCCAGCCTGCACAGGCGGGGTTGTTCTTATTACAAGGTGCATAATAGTGGCTTAAAGCCAGGTGCTGTAATCAGTCACAATCTACAGGTTGTATAAGACACTATATCTAAGGTTACATAGGATGCCATAGCTAAAGCTGCCCAGGAACCGCACGGCTTGCTGGAAGCGAGCCTGACTCATCCATTTTCTTTGTCACTCCCCTCACCCAACAACATGCAGTTGTAGAAAATCATATAGAGAGATCCCAGGTGCCCTTCCTCCAATTTCCCCCAGTGATAACCAAGATATTGACACCAATATAGTCATAATACAGAACAAATCCATCGTGACAATGATCTTTCTTATTGCTCTGTTATAACCACCCACAATGTTTTCTTTCCATCTCCATAATGTTGTCATTTGAAGAATGTTATATGTGTTAAAGAGAAAAACCACGGGCCCCAAATGGCATCACTGTGCTAAAAGCCAGTGATACCAAACCTAAATGTAATGTTTTGTTCAAGCACCGGTAAGGTAAACTGTCACATGGGCCCTCTCTAGCCACACCCCGTCCACCCACCCACCCATAGGAAAAAGAGGCAGTCAGCAAGATAAAAAGCCTTCTCGTTCTTTTCCCCCAAAGAAAAGATGTCCTGGCCCAAAAATAATCTTTCCTTTTCTTTTGTTAATAGCTTCCTTGCCTCACCTTTCTTCCTATAAAAAACCTTCCATTCTTGTAGCACTGTGGTAGTTGCTGAGTGGGATGCTGCCTGATTCATGAGTCCTTTAATAAACCCAATTAGATCTCCAGCTTTACTCGATTGAATTTTGTTTTTTTCCTAGACTTGGTGGCTGTGGAGGAACTGAGGTGAACTTCTGATGGCATTCAGGGACAACGGGAAACACAGGTGCGGCATGCGAGAACCCCATTTTGCGTTCACTTTCTTGCCACATCTGAGGGCCACTGGTAAGTTCCTCTTGGTTTGAGCTCTGCTCCCGTTGCATTCAAGCTCCCAACTAATGGACTTTTCTTTATAGGGTAGGTCAGCTTGATTTGGTAGATGGTTCTGCCTGAAGCCTAATTGAGCCAGCAAAATGTTCTGCCTGGAGCCAAGCCCCTATCCTTTTAATCTCCATTCCCAAGATGCAGTAACATCTTTGGGTTACTACCAAATTTTTGAGTGAAAACCCCAAGCCCTTGATTCTATTCCTAGATTCCATGCTGGGAACTGCTGGTGGTTAAGTCTGCGGTTCTCTATTTGTTTGGGATCTTTCCCCAGATTCCACACTGGGCACTGATGGTGACAGCTGCAGGTCTCCATTGTGCTTGGAATTGGTCTGCAGTTCTCACCCGTCAGGGTGTGCTGTGCAATCCTTTCCCCCAGTCTAAGGTTCCGCAGAAATTAGTGGTGGTGTGTACAGGGCCTTCTTTGGATCAGGGCACTGTACCGTCTCTTGTCTTCTTTGGTATAAATAAAGGCTAATCGC